TGGGAGATGAAAAGCTGGACATGAGCTGGCAACGTGCACACACAGCCCAGAAGGCCAACTGTACCCTGGGTTGCATCAAAAGAAGTGTGGCCAGCAGGTCAAGGGAGGTGATTCTGCCCCTCTACTCTGCTCTGGTGAGATCCCACCTGGAGCACTGTGTCCGGCTCTAGAGTCCTCAGACCAGGAGGCCTCAAAAATGATTTGAGGGATGGCACCCCTCTCCTACGAGGACAGGCTGAGAGAGTTGGGGTTGTTCAGCCTAGAGAAGAGAAGGCTGCAGGGAGATTTTACTGCGGCTTTTCAGTACTTAAAGGGGGCCTATAAGAAAGATGGGGACAAACTTTTTAGCAGGGTCTGTTGCTATAGGACAAGGGGTAATGGTTTTAAACTAAAAGACGGTAGATTTAGACTAAATACAAGGAAGAAGTTTTGTATGATGAGGGTGGTGAAACACTGGAACAGGTTGCCCAGAGAGGTGGCAGATGCCCCATCCCTGGAAACATTCAAGGCCAGGTTGGGTGGGACTCTGAGCACTTGATCTCACTGAAGATGTCCCTGCTCACTGCAGGGGGGTTGTACTAGATGACCTCTAAAGGTCCCTTCCAACCCAAACTACTCTATGAATCTATGTATAAATAACTTATACTGTAGTTGTGGAGAGTGAAACCGTGTTTTAGGTTGCATCCATTCTATTACAAGTAGGAAAAACTAATGAGAAACACATTTTTGCATAATATTTGGAATGTTTAAATCCTAAGAATTGATACATTGATCACAGATTTTGACCTTAATTTGTATCATTCTTTAACAAAAATAGATACTTATTGTAAATACATGGTATATGGTCACTCCATTTATGCAGGCTTTGTGACAATGAGAGATAACAGTGACCATCTCCAACAGCCTTAAGAGCTTGCATTATTTGTACATACTGAAACTTGCAAGTCTTTCTGTGCCTGAGGTAAGTGATAGTGCAATGTATCTTTATGACAAAAATCTAGTCTATCAACAAAGTTGCTACCAGTAACAGAGGTGAAGAAAACTGACATAGGAAGCTCTATCTCCCCATTTCTTTTCTGCTTGTGAAGTGACAATTTAAACTGATTTGAACTGATTTCAAAAAGATGAGCTAGGTTTTGATTCCTTTTTTTGAGGTCACATCCTACAAGTATTTAGAGCACATTAATATGTGGCAAACCAGTAAAGTCAGTGACTCAAATGCAGAAACCTATTTGCATTCAGCTAGTGGAACACTTTTATTGGAAAGAATTTCCTATCAGATAGAATCAAGGGGGACAGTGACACCAACTCTACAGGGAGTCAACTGAGGGTCTGTTCAATATGATAAAAAGTTAACTTAGAGACAAAGGGCAAGGAGCAAAGATAATCATAATTCAAAGCAAATACTAGCAGGCAAATGCAGACATGCACAGAGTAATGCACAGACAACTTTATGGTGGGTTTATATTGTGACCTCCTTAGTGCCCACACAGTGATCCCAATACAGATTATTTGTACAAATATGAGGCTACATTGCATGACATATGGGCATGAACACTGCTGATAAAATACACTTGCTGTTTTTATCACATTCTAAGCTTGCTCAAAGGTCTCTTGTTGCTCTGACTGTTAAAAGATTCAAGACTTCAATCATCACACATTTTTAAAGTCTAGAGGAGCAGTAGAGTTTTATTCCCATACAAACTGAACAGTCTTTTCACATACACACAGAGCCTTCAACATTGAACTCTGAGATAGACAGATTGACAGACAGAAACAAATACACAAATGCACACACACACAGAGCTAGTATATACAGTCTCTACAACTTTTTCCTGTCATGTACGAAGGAAGCAAGGATTATTTATTGTTGTGGTTTTTTTCCCTTTTAAAACACTTCTCAATCAGCAAGACAGCAAATTTTCTATGGTGCATATAGCATTTAGTGTATGGTAACCAGATAGGCAGAGTGATAGATATGCAGTATTTGAATAGCTGAATTAATGGAAGAAACAAAGAAGAAATTATACTATTAGATTGCTTATATACTTCCTTTGGGGTTATGTAATATGTACTTTGTGTTTGTGGCAATTACAATACCTTTTAAACAACTTTTTGTGAGCCTGTGTGAGCGCATTCATCTTTCAGGCTAATGCCTTTATTGTACGAAGATGGAACAGAGCTGTGCAAGCTTTTGAAGGAGTAAGAGTGAAGTTCATCCTGGAATACATCTTCTCTTTCCACAGCTGTATGAGAACCTCTTTCTTTTGTGAACTGAATGTTAATAGAAGCACTAGCAAACAAACCACCAAAATCATCCTGCTCTTTTCAATGGAAAAAGTTATAATTGTTCCCCATATTGCCACAGGCAATGAACTTTGAAGTGACTGACTGAAGTCTGACCATCAGCTAAATCTGTGCACTCCAAGTCTCAAGCAAGACATCTCTACTTAGTCTAGCTGCCATTAGCCACAGCACAAATAACTATATTTAAATACCTCAGAAGCAAAAGTCACCTATCCAACACACTATACCTCCTCTCAGCACATCAATCTTGCAGCACTATCAGCATGCAGCCATGTGTCAACAAGGGGAACTGAGACTTCTACTTGTGTGAAGTAGGAAAGTAGGCTGATGCTTAAGCCATGAGCCACCTTTTAGAAACAAATGGTGAGACTTTCAAGATGAGACTCAGAAGACTGTGTAAGAAATTGAGTCAATAAAAAAACTTAACACTTTTCAGATTTCAGAGCTATTACCTCCATGTTTTTAGAGAAAACATTGAACAACTATGAATCGCTTCAGGTATGGAGTAGCTATGGAGTTTCTGTCAAACACTATCACAACAAAGGCTAAGGACTCAGTCTTTTCCAAAGGATGTGAATCACATATAAACTATAATATAATTGATGCTCTCTCCATGATAAACATTGTAAACAGAATTCTACTACTGTATCAGAAATGAATGTCTGCTAAGATACAGAAGAAAAGTGCAACTGCTTTCCCTTAAGAGCCAAATAAACTATTTTAATAATTCAGATTGAATTATAACCACAAAGAAGATAACTGATGCACAAAAAGCAAGAAGAGCAAAACAACATGAATAAGCCAAATGACACTCTGTTTTCCTCAAAATGGCAACATAATTTTATATTACGTATTTTGCATAAGTAATTCTTGGAGTCTTTAATAAGAGTTTGTGCACAAGAAGAGCTTGGTAGAGATGTCATGCTGAAACTGAAATGTTAAAAACATTTTCAAGACCCTTTAGCTGAACTTATCCAAGATGCTGGGCCTAAAAAAAAAATCACAAAATTAGACCCAGACAAATACACACATATTTTTTGTTTTACCTTGCTGCGTTGTGATCCTGTCACCTTAAGGAAGGGCAAGGACAAGAAGCGAAATAGTAATAAGAAAAAGAAGTCCAAATTTTTTTTTCTGCAGGTGACTGACCAAATACATATACAAAATTGTCTTTTGAACAGATTAATACATTATTTGAACATAAGTTTCATAGCTACAGAAAAAATAATAATTATAAAAAACATATGAATAGGATCTTATCTCAAAAGATAAAGTTGAATGCCTAACAAGGAACCCATTATAATTTAGGTAAGGAGCACTAATAAATCATTCACCTTAATGACTTTCTATTTATAATGTTTCACATTTATAAGCACAAGACTTTGATATCTAACAAGCATGCACAGGCTAGCTGAAAAAAGCTTATAGAAATAAATATTCTTCATTTAGACAATGATAGGTCATAAACTGCATGTCCGGGGAAAAAAACCCAAAACCAAACCAAAAAAAAAAGAACTGAAATTTTGATTCATACTTAGATATTTACCAAGAAACAGACATGTATGTATTTGGTATGTTAGTTGTAACTCAACTGGGCTAGAACTTCTGAGTGACTCAAAGGAATTTGGTATTGGTATTCTTTCTGATTTTTGTATACAGCCAAATAGGGAATACGTACTTAAATAATTCAGTGCTATCTCATGCAGCATCATGTAGAAAACATACAGATCATCTGATGTGTACAATGGGAGAAAAAGTAAACATGTCCAAAACCACTCCTCAAAAATCAAAACAGCACAGGTAGTTTTATATCAAATCTATCAGTATATTTAGGAATATTTTAAAGAAAAAAAAAGTATGTATTTCAAGTTTCTGTGTTTTAGAATACATATTAAATACATTTATTGATTTGAAAGATATAAGACAACTTTTAATGTCCAAATTATAATATGCTAAAATATATTAAAATATTAACAAAATAATTCCCTCAGTGCCCCTCAGAACAGACAAATTTCTTCTAAACTCCATTTTATTAATGGAAAAAGAGAGACAGATCCCAGAGCAAACACATGACAAGGACTCATCTCTTACTCTTGTAATCAACTCATATAAGTGTGCTTCCTTATACAGTGATGATCACTAAAACCTCAACATTAAATAACACTTAATGCAGATTTCCTGTTCTCAACATAAGCAAAAGCTTGGCAGTATTGATGAATAAAGGCTCACCTTTTACTAAGAAGCACTAATATATATGTGAACATAAAAATACTGTGTAAATTACTGGTACTGAATGTAAATGACAACTGCAAAAAGCAGTATTATTTCAGATTTTAACCATCCAAACTAAACGTAGGGTGTGATACTTTACAAGATTCAGCCTGTTATTATTAGACTTCCAGAATAATACACATAATATTTCTCTTCAATAACTGAAAGGTTAAAGTCAATCAGATAAACATGTGAGATCCATTAAATTACTCCATATAATCTTATATTATGTGATATTACATAAGGTTTTGGTTTACTACTATGAATCTGGTGACTCATATCTGCCAATCCAGGTTCTGACATGCAGTTCACTGGCATAATAAGCTGCAGTAAGCCATGAACCAAGAAACATAAATGTCAGTTGGAAGCTATGAAATAATGTCTAACATGACAATAAAAACAAACCAGAAGTATAATCTTACTTCAAAACTCTTCACTTCTTCTTCACCATCATCATCATCTTCATCATGGCAGCTCTGATACAATGTAGAAAGGAAACATTTACTGTTAAATCAGGGCAGGGAGCTAAGCCTTCCTTCACATTACACATAATTTCTCTTGATCTTCTTTATTAATTTTATTAAAACAGAAAAGATGCAAAAAAGTTACCTTTGCCATAATGTCAGCATAAGCCATATACAGGAAATCTTCTTCCAATTTGCTGGTTAATAGAGAGAGGAAAGGGAAAAAGAGGGAGATTAGAGCCATTACAGCAGAATTGAGGCACCAAAATATTTTTAAGCACCTTAAAAATAATTTTAAAGGATTTCTATGCTCATAATTAATTACAGAAGTCTTTTTGGAAAATGAGGACTTGATTAACTAATACAAACTGAAAAGTAAAGCCTGATACAAACACAGTGCTCAGAAATTCATAAACACCTTCCAATGAAGAGAACATACTTAATTTTTCAATTATCCCTAGAATACAGTTATATTTCACATTCAGCATATAACTGCCAATAGGGAACATAGACAGAATAGAGAGGTATAGAAAGTCCTGAATGCAGCATCTGTAACTGTGAAACAGTGCATAAGGACTTCTGTTTGTCTCTAGAAAACGCTTTACATCTCTTATCAGTCATGCTAATATCTCTTTACATGCCACAGAGGCTAGAGAGGTTTGAGTGTAACTCAAATTCACACGTACATATGCACATGTTCTGGCCTAGCCTATGCAATCTCACTTGAATAGAGACATGTAACTTCAAACACAGGAGTAATTTGAAAATCTGCATAAACTCTGCAGTCTCTCACACCATCCCTACCATTTTTCAGTCAAGGCTGTTCGACTGAATAGCAGAATAAGTTGGTGTAAAGGATCAACTCTTTTAAGGCTTTCATCTTCTTCTGGTGGTTCCTCCCCAGGTTTCTTTAGGGAAAAAAAAGATTTTTTTTAAAGTATGTTCAATTACCTATAGTGAAAAATGTTTTACTCTGAGCAATTTATTAAACATTAAATACTCAACTATGTAATTTTGATTTGGACAACCAGGAGGAAACAAGTTCCAATAAAAGTATGAAAAGCCTGAATCCTGACTGTATTTATGACCATGAAGACTTACAAAGATTATATCGTTTTCAAAGCTTTGGATTTTTCCTCCTTTTAAAAATTAACCCTCTTCCCTAGATTCTGAAAATAACTTCAGTCTTTCACTGCTGTTATCCAGAATGAGTGGTAACCAGATGCCATCATTTGCTATTATACTTTCTGTTCCTCTCTATGTTACAAGCTTCATCAGCTAAAAATGAGAATCCTCCATTTGAGTCTTATGCCATTTTGCTGAGGAACTCTGAAAGGCTTTGAGGGAGAAGCAATCCAAACTTGAAGCTCACCAATAGTTTTAGACAGAAGGAGCTATATCTACCAACAACAGTAATGCTGGCAGGATGCAGAATTTTAGAAGATGACAAATCAATACTGTATAAAAAATATTATATATCATTTGATAACATATATATATACACAAATAGTTTTTTTTCACGTGGTTATTTTGCTTTCAGGTTTAGACAGCTCTAGTTGGTTCGCTCTAAAAGAAAAATATAGTCGTAAATACTATAACGGCAACCACTGAAGTAGTGTTTTGAAAGAATATATAAAAAATCTGTCCTCTGACTTCTTGTCTTTTGCCAGAAGACATTTCAGAAAGTAAGTTTTTCATATCACGTTATTAACCAAATTGCTTCATCCAGGCCTATTTTTCTACAAAGTACCCGGTTTTCTACAGAGAAAATTGGTTGCATAAATTATGTCCACTCTTCCTCCTTGCTTTCACCTAGCACTATACACTAAAATACAGATAATAAGAATCCCATGCATCGATAAGACTGTGCAAGTAAGAAATTGTAATAATGTCAGATGTTATCTGTAATCAATAAGGAAGTGTTGGCCACATGACAGATATAAGGAAAATGGATGTTTTGCCTATTAAGAAAAAAATTGTGTGTGCTAGTGTCAAATACATTCCTGTGGGAATGCTTATAGAACTCTGTATGTACTACACTTCATATGTGCCCGTGAAGTCCACCTCTTCCATTCAGCTGTACCAAACATGACCGGTTGCAGCTGAGGATTCACTTAAGTTGACATATACACACAATGATAGTTTCACATGCTAATCTATGATGGCCATACAAAGTTCATTTCACATTTTGCAAAATGTGACAATATTTTCAGTATCAGTAACAAGGTCTGAACAATGCAAATTACAGCTCTAGTTATATCTCACTTCCCCTGCTCTTTATTTCAATCTCATTTAGGATGCTGACCTCTCTCGTTAGTTAAATGGTAGGATTCTATACTTGGTAATGTTATCAACCAGAATACCTTTCTAATGTTATCAAAACTGATGAAGCAAAAGTGCAGAAGTTGTGTTAATGATTAATACAAGTTATTAGCTTTCATAGATTTAATTCCAATTAAATGGAGGATCAAATTCACCAATGACCGAGTTAAGCAGAATTCATTATTAAGTGTAGCATGAACACTAGAACCAAATAATTTTCTGATATTTCTTGGAAATAAATATGCTTAATTTTCAATGTTTTGAGACATTTGCCCATAAAAAGCTTTAACTGAACGTAACGTAACAGGATAAAACAAATAAGTTGGGTAAGCTTTAGTTGCCATTTCTAAGTGTTGAAGATTAAAATATTTAATTTTTATATAATCTAATCATTAAACATATTGTTCTTACAAATTATTATGTCCAGTAATGCCCATCAACAAAACTAATCAAGAATTTTATCACATAAGCTTAGGTGTTTATATAACCTATTTAATTAAAGCAGAAACATTTTAACTATTGATAAAGAGAGTGTTGAATATTCTATGATTTTAATATCAAACATTAAAAAGTTCCCAGAGGCACCTGATCTGTTGAATCAGAATTAAGAATCAGCAGAATTAAGCTCCTCCGATGATAGAGGACTTTTGTAGATTTTTTGCAGAGAGCAGGCTCTCCTCACATTGGAAAGATTGATCTCAGACTGTGTTCTGTTGGACCTCCCAGGGACTGAATAATTTCCTAGTACTAGTTCTTGCCCAAGCCTCAAAAGAACTACCTTTCTGAGAGACAGTTGTAAGGGATGAGAAACAGAAACAAGCGCGAGCAACCCGGAGCTCAGTGAAAAGGACAGGCAAACAGGGCGCGGTGCATCAGAAGGGCATGGTGAGGCACTTTGCGCAGCAGTTTGTGTGGGCAGGGCGCCGTCTCCCCTCCAGGCTCTGACAGTCACTTGATTAGCAGCCATCAAGGAGAGGCCATCAAGGTCCCAGGAGAGGGCCAAGCAATGGTTGCCACTCGCTCAAAAGCCATTGCCAGAAAGAATGTGGCGACCCAGATGGAGACCTCACACAGAAACAAGCGGCTGTCCAGGTCTCCGGCTGTAGGGAGTGCCTGAGCCTGTCGCTCGTACCGGCGGGTGGTAAGGACAACATCTGGCTCCAGTGTGACCAGGTGGATGACCTGCTCTGCCTGGTGGCAGAGCTGAAAGAGGAAGTGGAAAGGTTAAGGAGCATTAGGAAGCGTGAGAGGGAGATAGACTGGTGGAGCCACATTCTACTATACCTCAGGACAAGGCAGCAGATGGAGGCTCCACAAGAAGCAGATGATCCGCTGCCCTCTTGCCACCAAGCAGAAGGATTGTGGGGAATGGAAACAGGTCTCTGCTCGGGGCAGGAGGCGAACCCCCTCCCGGCCTCCCTCACCTTTCCAGTTGCCCTTACATAATAGATATGGGGCTCTGGAACTTGAGGGCCAGGTAAATGAGGATGTGGATGAAGGTCCACCCAGGGGTTGGCTAGGGAGAGTCAGTCACCCCTACCTATCAGGATTGCCTCTGTTAGGAAAAAAAGGAGGGTAATTGTTGTGGGCGATTCCCTTCTGAAGGGAACGGAGTGCCCGATATGCCAGCCGGACCCATCTCACAGGGAAGTCTGCTGACTCCCTGGGGCCCAGGTCAGGGACATTGCCAAGAAACCCCCTGGTCTGGTACGGCCCTCTGATTACTACCCGCTATTGATTGTACAGGCTGGCAGTGATGAGATTCCACAAGGAAGTTCCAAATTGATCAAAAGGGACTTCAGGGCACTGGGAAAATTGGTTGATGGATCAGGAGCGCAGGTAGCGTTCTCCTCGATCCCATTAGTGGCAGGGAGGGACAATGAAAGGAACAGGAAAACTAGACTGATTAATATGTGGCTCAAACACTGGTGCCATCGGAGGGGCTTGGTGTTTTTTGATCATGGGGAGGTTTACACAGCACTGGGCCTGTTGACAACAGGTGGTGCTCAGCTTTCTCAAAGGGGGAAAAGGATCCTTGCTCAAGAACTGGCGGGGCTCGTTGAGAGGGCTTTAAACTAGGCCTGAAGGGGGGAGGGGATATAACCAGGCTCACTAGAGAGGAGAGAGAGGAGCCTAGGGGCGACAACCCAATGCTGGGGGTGAAACCGATAGCCCAGCTCAAGTGCATCTACACTGATGCACATAGCATGGGCAACAAACTGGAAGCCGTTGTGCAGCAGGATGGCTATGATGTAGTTGCCATCACAGAAACGTGGTGGGATGCCTCTCTTGACTGGAGTACTGCAATGGATGGCTATAACCTCTTCAGAAGGGACAGGCAAGGAAGGAGAGGCAGTGGGGTGGCTCTGTATGTTTTGATTGTACAGAGCTCGATGCTTGTGATCAGGCCGAGTGTTTATGGGTGAGGATGAGGGGGAAGGCCAACAAGAAAGACATCCTCGTGGGAGTCTGTTATAGACGACCCGACCAGGATAAGGAGGTCAACAAAGTATTCTACAAGCGGCTGGCAGAAGTCTCTCGATCACGAGCTCTTGTTCTTGTGGGGGACTTCAACTTACCAGACATCTGCTGGAAGTACAACACAGCAGAAAGGCAACAGTCTAGGAGGTTCCTGCAGTGTGTGGAAGATAAATTCCTGACACAGCTGGTAAGGGAGCCTACCAGGGGAGGTGCCCTGCTTGACCTCCTGTTTGCTAACAGAGAAGGACTGGTGGGAGAGGTGGTGGTCAGAGGTCATCTTGGCCTTAGTGATCATGAAATGGTAGAGTTTTCGATTTTTGGTGAGGTAAGGAAGAGGGGTCAGCAAAACCACCACCATGGACTTCCAGAGGGCGGACTTCAGCTTATTCAGAACGCTGGTTGGGAGAGTCCCTTGGGAGACAGTTCTGAAGGGCAAAGGGGTCCAGGAAGGTTGGGCGTTCTTCAAGGAAGAAGTCTTAAAGGCACAGGAGCAGGCTGTCCCCATGTGCCGTAAGATGAATCGGCGGGGAAGACGACCGGCCTGGCTGAACAGGGATCTTTTACTGAGACTCAGGAAAAAAAGGAGAGCTTACCAGCTTTGGAAGAAGGGGCAGACAACCCAAGAGGAGTACAGGGATCTTGTCAGGTCATGCAGAGAGGAAATTAGAAAGGCAAAAGCCCAACTAGAACTCAACCTGGCCACTGTTGTAAGGGATAACAAGAAAAGTTTTTATAAAGACGTTAACAGCAAAAAGAGAGCTAGGGAGAACCTCCATCCTCTAGTGGATGCAAGGCGGAACATTGCCACTAAGGATGAGGAAAAGGCTGAGACACTCAATGCCTTCTTTGCCTCAGTCTTTAATGTTCCAATGAGTTATCTCCAGGGTACTCGGCCCCCCAAGCTGGTAGATGGGGATGGGGAGTGGAATAAACCCCACATAATCCAGGAGGAATCAGTTTTCAACCTGCTATGCCACCTGGATGTCCACAAGTCTATGGGGCCAGATGGGATCCACCCAAGAGTGCTGAAGTAGCTGGCAGAGGAGCTTGCCAAGCCACTCTCCATCAA